AAAAAAAAAAAAAAAAAAATTAGCCAGGAATGGTACCATGCATCTGTAGTCCTAGCTACTTGAGAGGCTGAAGCAGGAGAGTTACTTAAACCCAAGAGGCAGAGGTTGCAGTGAGCTGAGATTGTGCCACTGCACTCCAGGCTGTGCTACAGAGCAAGATTCCGTCTCAAAATAAGTAAGTAAATAAAGTGCTGAAGAAAAAAAGCTTTTATAATAGGATAGCACATCCAGCAAAAATATACTTCGAACATAAAAGATAAATAAAGACTTTCTTAGACAAACAAGAGCTGAAGGATTTCATCAACACCAGACTTGTCCTATGAGAAATGCTAACGTGAATTCTTCCGTCTGCAAGAAAAGGATGTTAATGAGCAATAAGAAATCACCTGAAGGTGCAAAACTCACTGGTAATAGTAAGTACACAGACAAACACAAAATAGTATAACACTTTAATTGTGGTGTGTAAATTATTTATGTCTTAAGTAGAAAGAATAAAAGATGAACCTATCAAAAATAATAACTACAATAACTTTTTAAGACATGACAGTATAATAAGATATATGTCACAGAAACAACAAAAAGTATAAAAGCAGGGGGATGAAGTTAAACTGTAGAGTTTTTATTAGTTTTCTCTTTGTTCTTTTGTTTTGGCAATTAGTGTTAAGTTGTCATTAGTTGAAAATAAACTATGCAGATGTTATTTGCAAGCCTCATGGTAACCACAAATAAAAAAAACCTTACCACACATGCGCGCACGCACACACACACACACACACACAAAGCAAGAAATTTAAAGATACTTTCAGAATAAAACGCCGTCACAGGAAGTAAAACAGGAAGGAAAAAAGGCAGGAAGAGAAGACCACAATCAGAAAACAAATAATAAAATGACAGTAGTGAACCCTTTTCAGTAATAATAGTGAATGTAAATGGACTAAACTTTGCAATAAAAAGACGAAGAGTGGCTGAATGTATTGAAAAAACAAGACCTCCCAGGTGCGATGGCTGGTGCCTGTAATCCCAGCACTTTGGGAGGCCAAAGAGGGTGGATTGCTTGAGTCCAGGAGTTTGAGGCCATGCCCAAAATGGAGATGCCCCATCTCTACAAAAAATATAAAAATTAGCTGGGCATGGTGGCACACACCTGTAATCCCAGCCACTTGGGAGGCTCAGCTGGCAGGAACACTTGACCCTGGAAGGTCAAGGCTGCAGTAAGCCATAATCATGCCACTGTACTCCAACCTGGGTGACAGTGTGAAACCGTGTAAAAAAAAAAAAAAAAGACCCAATGATCTACTGCCTATAAGAAACATATTTCATCTATAAAGACACACATAGATGGAAAATAAAGGGATGGAAAAGATGTTTCATGCAAATTAAAACCAAAAAAGTGTGGGAGTAGCAACCCAATTGTACTTTTTTAGTTATTTAAAAATGTACAATAAATTATTGTTGATTATAATCACCCTGTTGTGCTATCAAGCACTATATCTCATTCATTCTAACTATAGTTTTGTACCCATTAATCATTCCCACTCCCTATCCCCACTACCCTTCCCAGCTTCTTATAACCATTATTCGACTCCCTATCTCCATGAGTTAAATTCTTTTAATTTTTAGCTCCCACAAATGAGTGAGAACATGCAAAATTTGTCTTTTTGTGCCTGGCTTATTACACTTAACATCATGACCTCCAGTTATATCCATGGTTTGTATAAGTATACTCTATGATGTTTGTGCAATGGCAAAATCACTTAAAGACACATTTCTCATAAAGTATCCCTGTCATTAAGGGATGCATGACTGTACTTGCTAGTCTTCCCTTTTATTAAAGACTCTTTGGAAAAGCTACTGTAGTTTTTATTGTGTTCATTTTTGTGGTTTCTGGCTATTTCTGGTAAGTGATAATGGTTTTCTATTATGAAGTATTGGGAAATACTTCATTAAGTAAAAAAAGCAGGTCAATTGAAAGAAAAATGGTAATTAAGTCATAGGTGTTCCCTAGATAGCACGAAATTCTGAAGATGGTTTTTCATATCACCAAGGTTGGGGAAATCGGACATAAACCAAGGTTCATCTGGGAACAGAGGGGTCTCCGTCCTGATGCTCCAGGTGGCCTGGTAGACCCTATCTCACAAAATGACCCAGGTTCAAATCCTGTTTACTCTGAGCAAGTTACCTCTCATTTTTCCCTGCACAGCAATGACAACACTCACAGGATTATTAAGATAATTAAATGAAATCTTAACAAGGGACTCTAGCACTGGGAGGAGCACAGAACATGGTGTCAGCACCTTGGAGTGTGAAGACATGGCCTTTTTTTTTTTTTGAGACATAGTCTCACTCTGTCACCTAGGCTCCAGTGAAGTGAAATGATCTTGGCTCACTGCAACCTCCACTTCCCCAGCTCAAGCGATTCTCCTGTCTCAGCCAGGATTACAGTGCCCACCACAACGCCTGGTTAATTTTTGTACTTTTAATAGAGACAGGATTTTACCATATTGGTCAGGCTGGTCTCGAGCTCCTGACCTCAGGTGATCCACCTGCCTCGGCCTCCCAAAGTGCTCAGATTACAGGTGTGAGCCACCACGCCCAGCCATCTTTTCTTAACAGTTGCCTTCTGTGTGTGTGTCCTGGTCTTAGCAGTTGATTTTGTTATGCTTTTCCCCCTTCATTGTTATGTATTGAATTAATTTTTGTTTTGTGTGTTATCCTTGCACATGGACCATGCTAATTGTTTCTATCTTGTACCAATTTTAGTATATGCGCTGCTGAAGCGACCACTTGCCATACTTTTTAAATGGAAACAGTACCTCTGGGCACTCACAGGAACTGGTTTGGAGCCTAGAGGCAGGAAGTTGGGCTGGGGACAGGGGTCAGGTTAGCAAGGGCAAAGCCTGTGCCTCCCACCATAAAGTCCTCTGCTGGGAGCAGTGTTTCCGTTTCAGCAGTCACGTCCCACTGCAATGGGTAAACCTGGCCACATCCGCTGACTCCCAGAGTCTGCCTGGGAATGTGGCTGAGCCTGGGGCTCCCATGGGGCATATCTGGAGCACATGGCAGCGGGGTCAGAGGTCAGTCAGGATGGCCCAGATGAATGCAGCAGGTCTAACAAGAGGGCAAGCATTGAGGTCTTTTCTGGTGAAGATCTTAACTATCAAATTGTGGTCCTGGGATCTAGGATGTAGAATAAGCCTGGCAAAGACTCTGCAGAGCTCTGATGAGGTGGAGTGGAATTAGAAGCCATCCATTTAGTCAATAAATATGAATATAGATTTGATGCTCCAGTTAAATGTTTATATTAGTTTCCTATTGCTGCCGTAACAGATCTAGTGGCTTAAAACAACACAAATTGACAAGCTTACAGTTTTGGAGGCCAGAAGTCCAAAATGGGTCTCACTGGGTTAAAATGAACGTGTTGTTAGGGCCACGATCCTTTCTGGGTATTCTTGGGGAGAATCCATTTTCTCACCTTCTCCAGGCAGCCCACATGCCAGGACTCAAGTCCCCTTTCTACCTTCAAAGCCAGAAATGGCCGATTGAGTCTTTCTTATGATGTCATCTTTCTGCTTCTGACCCTCCTGCCTCTCTTCTTTTTTTTTTTTTTTTTTTTTTTTTGAGAGAGTGTCGCTCTGTTGCTCAGGCTGGAGTACAGTGGTGTGATCTCAGCTCACCACAACCTCTGCCTCCAGGGTTCAAGTGATTTTCCTGCCTCAGCCTCCCAAGTAGCTAGGACTACAGGCGGATGCCACAATGCCCAGTTCATTTTTGTATTTTTAGTGGATACAGGATTTCACTATGTTCATCAGGCTGGTCTCAAACTCCTGACCTCATGATCTGCCCACCTCAGTCAGCCTCCCAAAGTGCTGGGATTACAGGCATGAGCCACTGTACCCAGCCAAGACCCTTATCTTAATCACATCTGTGAAGTCCCTTTGGGTATGGAAGGTAACAGAGTCTGCACTGGCTCCAGGATGTGAACATCTTTGGGGGGCCACTACTCTGCCATGACCGGGCTCCCCTCCTGAGGTCTCATCATAGCCCAGGCCCAGATTTCAGTCTAATGGCAAAGAGTACACTTGTATTGCCTGCCCTGGGAAATATGCTAGCGTTAGCTGTGACTAGGCCAACTTGGGTGGTATACTCACTAACAATCCAATCACTGTGGCCAGAAGGATGGACCATGCTGCTTCGTTAGTACTGAGTCTCAGGCTCATCCCAGGAACTGAGATGGGGTCAGCCCTCCAGTAACCTGGAAGAAAGGAGGGGAGAAGTTTCCAAGGAGAATTGGGGAGCTCTTACAAAAGTAGAGGCAGTAGGTGCTGACCACTACAGACTACAATGATCTTGTGAAACACTGTGATGCCCATTTTGCAGGTGGAAGAGATGGTGAAGTCACACTGTCAGCATGAGGTACAGCCATGATTTGAATCCGCGTGGAGGAGTTCTTGCCACTGTATTAGGCTTCCTTGAGCCCTGGCTAAATGTCGCGTTAGCAGATCTGATTAATGCTGGAATGTTATGTAGCTCAGCTGGTGACCTGGGTGGCAGCCTCCTCAGAGGTTGGCATGGGACCTACTGAGGAAGGCACATGGTTAACACAATCACCGGCGAGGTAGATACCCTCAGAGAAAAGGGAAATTTCCATTTCACTCCTGAAAGGCTCTTTAAAGCCAAAATTCAAATCAAAGAGCAAAGTATAATAACTTCCTCTGGGCAAATTTATAATTAATCCCAGATTAATTGGCCTTAATGAAGTTGAATTAATTACTAGCTGTTTGTAAAGAACTTTGAACTACCTTAGTACAAAATGGCATTAAAGAAACAGAAAGGAACCAGCATCACATTAACATGAAGAACAAATCCCAAATAATCGCAGTTCTGCAGGCTGTTTCCCGTCACTAATTTTCCCAGGGACTACGTCCAGCCTGTGGAACTGTAGGGGGCCCAGAGAGTCTGCTGTGGAGGAGAATGTCTTCGTGGGCTAGAGGTTTGAGCGTGAGTGCATTCAAGAAGCAGTTGTGGGGCTTTGCGTGTACCAGGCCCAGGGCTAACAAAGATGTGCAAGTTGAGGCCCCTGCTCTCCAGGCATCCTCAGCTACCAGGAAAGGGGAGAACTCCGGAGCACCTGCCTGGTCTAAAGCAAACTCAGCTTAGTGGGATGGATGGTAGGACAGAGACAAAGTACACTATAGGAGGCGTGATGAAACCTACATTTTGCTGGGAACAGCCTTCCATTTCCTGTAGGGGATCCCCTGGTCCCTCCTTCCCCCCATTCTTTGGGGGACCTATGACCCACACCTGGCTAGGCAGAGTTCATGAGGAATGAACATAATAAGGAAATCCAGGCAAAGCACTGGATTTCTCTCTTGGTGCAGGGGCACATGACTTCATCAGGGCCAAGGAGACTTGATTTGGGGACTTTGTGGAGCTGCTGACAGCCACTTTGTCATTGTGAGGAGGGAGCTTGTCTGGGAATGGAGACAACTCAGAGGAAGGAGGAACAGAGAGAAAGAGACAAAGTTGGTGTTCTCCTGTTGTCATCTGAGCCCCTGGATGAAGCAAGCTCTTCCCCCAGACTTTTTAGTTAGGTTTATTTACTTAAATTCACAAACATTGACATATCACTTATAATATACCAGGCATTGTTCTAAGTGCTATAGACATACCAATTCATATAATAGTCACTACTCTGTGAGTTAGGAAGTATTATGCCCCACTTGACAAATGAGGAAACTGAGGCACAAGGCAGTTTTGTAACGTGCCCAAGGCTCCACAGTTTCCAGCTGGTGGGAGCAGGATTGGACACAAGCAGTGTCTGTGCTTTTCACTACACCGTGGGCAGCATGTTCCCTTTTTTGCTTAAGTCAGTTTCACTGTGAGTTTCTGTCATTTGTCCTTAAAAAGAAGAAAAGCATGACTATACAGAATGTGACATGGAGGTAGCCAATCCAGCCCCTGGAGGTCCAAGAAAGCTTCCAGAGGGTGTGCCAGCCCAAGAAAGTAGCCTGTGGACAAGTGTTGGGGTGGGGTGGATGAGCATGGTGTGTGCGCAGGATTGCACAGGTTCAGGATCACCAGGTACAAGGAGAGAAACAGGGAGGAAAATGGCAGGGTGGGGTGGGGTAAGGAGTCAGTCTATCCACAGTTGACAGTAATAAGGCATTTGCAACTCTTCCCTTGGGGACTACAAACTAAGGAATCTTAGTCTCATTGGTGACTTTAGGACTTTTTTTTAAATTTTAAAAAATTTATTTCTTGAATATTATAATACTTTCACATGATTTAAAAATTTAAAAATGCCAATGTATTTCAAGTAAAATGTCTTTCTGTCTTCCCTCCAGCCAACCTGCTCCCCTCCCTGGAGATAACATTTATTGAGCACCAGCTATATGCACTGTGCTAAACCCAGGGGGAGACAGATAATGAGGAATGAACATAACAAGGAAATAAACTATACACGTATGTTCAAAGGTGATACGCGCAAAGGAAAAACTGGAGCAGGATAAGAGAGATCAGGAGTAGAGAGGGGGCTGTTCTGTTAAAGAGGCTGCCCAGGGCAGGGCTCATGCAGGATGTGAAAGTTGAACTTGGAGGAGGTGAGGGGTGAGATGTTTAGAGGTTTGGGAGAAAAATGTTCTGGTCCATGCTTGGGGGCTTTGAGTAACAGTAAGGGGGCCAGCGTGGCTGGAGCCAGAAGAAAATAGGAGACAAGTTCAGGAAGGTAGCATGGTGTGCGTGTGTGTGCGCGTGTGTGTTACTGTGCATGTGCATGTATGTGTGTGTCCTGTGCATGTGTGCGTGTGTGTGCATGAGCATGTGTGCATGTGCGTGCATGTCTCTGTACGTGTGCATGGCCCCATTTGCCTGCCACTGTGCACGTGTGTGTGTCTGTGTGTGTGCATGCATGTGTCTGTGTGTGCATGCATCTCTGTGTGTGCATGCATCTCTGTGTGTGCATGCGTCTCTGTGTGTGCGTGTGTCTGTGCATGTGCTGGCCCCATTTGCCTGCCGCTGTACTCACGTGTGTGTGCATGTGTCTGTGTGTGCGTGTGTGTGCATGCATCTGTGTGTGTGTGCATGGTGTGTCTCTGTGCACATACATAACCTCTTCTTCCTGCAGCTCTGCACATGTGTTTGCATGAATCTGTATATGAGCGTGTGCATGTGTGCGCATGTGCCTGTGTGTGCATGCTTCTGTACGTGTGTCTCTGTGTGTGTGCATGGCCCCACTTGCCTGCCACTGTGCACGTGTGTTTGTATGTCTATGTGTGTGTGCACGTGTGTGTGTGTCTTCGTGTGTGCATGGCCCCATTTGCCTTCTGTGTGCGTGTGTGTGCATGCCTCTGTATGTGTGCACAAGTGTTTGTGTGTTTGTGTGTGTGTGCGCGTGTGTGTGTCTCTGTGTGTATGCATGGCCCCATTTGCCTGCCACTGTACACGTGTGTGTTGGTGTATGTATGCACGTGTGTGTGTCTGTGTGTGCATGTCTCTCTGTGCATGTGCATGGCCCCATTTGCCTGCTGCTGTGCACAAGTGTGTGCATGCATGCATGCATCTGTGTGTATGTGTGTGTGTGTGTCTCTGTGTGTGTGCATGCATCTGTGTGTGCACATGTGTGTGTGGCTGTGTGTGTGTGCATGGCACCATTTGCCTGCTGTGGTGCTGTAAGGACTGTGGCTCTTCCTCCAAGTTAGATAAAGAGACAAAGGCTCACTCCAGCTTCGGTATGCAGAACAGGCTGTAGGAGAACAAGAGCAGATGCAGGGAGTCCTAGTAAAAGAACAGCTGCAGTCAATTAAAACCCCAGTGAGATACCAGGACACATCTATTGGAAAGGTCAACATTATAATTATTATTGAGACAGGGTTTCGCTCTGTTGCCCAGACTGGAGTGCAGTGGCAAGATGATGGCTCACTGCAGCCTTAACTTCCTGGGCTCAAGCATTCTGTGAACCTCAGCCTCTTGAGTAGCTGCGACCACAGACATGTGCCACCATGCCCAGCTAATGTTTGTATTTTTTGTAGAGATGGAGTCCCACTATGTTTCCCAGGCTGGTCTCTAACTCCTGGGCTCAAATGATCTTCCCACTTTGGCCTCCCAAAGTGCTGGGATTACAGGCATGAGACACCACATCCTGCGAGGAAAAGTAAAATTTAAAACAAAATAAAATAGTCTAGGTAACATAGTGAGACCCCATCTTTACAAAAAAATTTAAAAAATTGGTCAGGCTACCTAGGAGGCTGGAGTGGGAGGATGGTTTGAGCCCAGGAGTTTGAAACTGTAGTGAGCTATGATTGTGCAACTGCACTCCAGCCTGGGTGACAGAGTGAGACCCCATCTCTAAAATAAAAGCAAAAACAAGACAACCAACAATACAAAATACAATTGATGACGCTGAGCAATTGAAACTCTTATACATTGCTGAGGGAATGTAAAATGATATGACCATTCCGGAAAATAATTTAGCAGTTTCTTATAAAGTTAAAACACACTTGTCATTTGACCCAACAATTTCACTTTTGGTATTTACTCAAGTGAAACTTATGTTCACATAAAATCCTATATATGAGTATTTAGAGCAGCTTTATTTATAACAGCCAAAATCTGGAAATAACCCAAATGCCCTTCAACAGGTGACTGGGTAAACAAATAATGATCCACCCATACAATGGAGTACTACACAGTAATAAAAAGGACAGCACACTGCAGTTACACACGACAACATGGATAAATATCTAATGCATTATGCTAAGTGAAAGAAGCCAAGGCCAGGCACAGTGGTTCACCCCTGTAATCCCAGCACTTTGGGAGTCCAAGGCGGGTGGATCACCTGAGGTTAGGAGTTTGAGACCAGCCTGATCAATGTGGAGAAACCCCATCTCTACTAAAAATACAAAATTAGCTGGGTGTGGCGGCACATGCCTGTAATCCTAGCTACTTGGGAAGCTGAGGCAGGAGAATCGCTTGAACCCGAGAGGTGGAGGTCGCGGTGAGCCAAGATCATACCATTGTACTCCAGCCTGGGCAACAAGAGCAAAACTCTGTCTCAAAACAAACAAACAAACAAACAAAATGAAAGAAGCTGGACCCCAAGGCTACCTACTGTATGCTTCCACTTATATCATGTTCTGGAAAAGGCAAAGCTTGTGGAGACAGTGAGCATAGGTAAGTAGCTGCCAAAGGTTAAAGGTGTAGGACGGTTTGATCACAAAAGGTTTTTTTTTTTTGAGGGTTATCAGTCAGTTTTGTATCTTGATTGCGATGGTGATTACCTGATTTTATGCATTGGCCAAAGCTCATAGGGCCATACATCGACAAGGGTGAATCTTACTTTTGCAGTAATCCAGGTAAGCGATGATGGCTTAGATCAAGTGCTGATGGTAGAGATCTTCAGAGGAGGTTGGATTCTAAGGGTAAAACCAAGAGAATTTTTTAATGAATTGGATGTGGAATATGAAAGAAAGTGAGGAGTCAAGAACTGAGCCACAGTTTGCTGCTTACACAACTGAGAGAATGCAGTTCTCATTCACTGTGATGGGAGTGGACTGGAGGGTAAAACCGGAAATTCTGACCTTGACAATTAAGTTTGAGATGCCTATTACACATTCAGGTTGTGTGTGTGAGCCTGCAGTTAGGAGGTGGAGGCTCCTAGCTGCAGGCTTACACATAGAACCTGAATTTGGGGGTCAATGGCTTGTAACACCAGGAGATATGGACATCACCAGGGAGTAAATATATGTAGAGAAAACTAGAGGGCTGAGCCCTGGGACCTTCTTGTGTTTACTGTTATCTATCTCTTGTGTATCCTTGTAGGGCTATTTCAGACTTGTACAAGCACATATATAGAGTGTATTTTTCATAAATGCAAACATGCTACACACACTAGTGTGCACTCTATTTTTTTCAGTTACCAATATATCTTAGAGATTGTTCTCAAACAGATACAAACAGCTACTTTGTTCTTTTCAAAGCCTGCATAGTATTCCACAGTATATATATTCCACGTATTCCACCATGATCCCTCTTTCTTTTTCTATTTAGTTTTTTTATTATGGAAAATTTTGAATATAACAAAAATGTAGACAGAATAGTGAACCCCCAAGACCCATCACCCAAAAATGATCAACTCAGGGCCAGTCTAGACTGCCATACACTCCTCTTCTTTAAAATTATGATTTATGGTAGCTTTGTGTCCTGATATAATTTCTTTTCTTTTTTTTTTTTTTTTGAGACAGAGTCTTGCTCTGTCACCCAGGCTGGAGTGCAGTGGTGCAGTCTTGGCTCACTACAACCTCTGCCTCCCAGATTCAAGTGAATCTTGTGCCTTAGCTTCCTGAGTAGTTGGGATTACAGGTTAATTTTTATATTTTTATAAATATTTTATATTTTAAATTTATATTATAAATATTTTATATTTTTATAATTTTTATATTTTTAGTAGAGATGGGGTTTTGTCATGTTGGCCAGGCTGGTCTCGAACTTCTGGCCTCAAGTGATCTGCCTGCCTTGGCCTCCCAAAGTGCTGAGATTACAGGCGTGAGCCACTGTGCCTGGTCTTTGTCTTGATACAATTTCTTTCTTTCTTTTTTTTTTTTTTTGAGGCGAGACTTCACTCTTGTTGACCAGGCTGGAGTGCAGTGGCGCGATTTGGACTCACTGCAACTTCCGACTCCTGGGTTCAAGCCATTCTCTTGCCTCAGCCTCCCGAGTAGCTGGGATTACAGATATGTGCCACCCATACCCGGCTAATTTTGTATGTTTAGTAGAGATGGGGTTTCTCCATGTTGGTCAGGCTGGTCTCAAACCCCCGACCCCAGGTGATCTGCCCGCCTTGGCCTCCCAAAGTGCTGGGATTACAGGCGTGAGCCACCGTGTCTGGCCTGTCTTGATATAATTTCAAGCTTACCATAATTATTCTTTTTAAGGACATTTACTTTGTTTACAACATTTTGCTACTACATACAATACAAAAAAGAAATACTTGGTACTAGAATATGTCTTTTCCATAAAGACTGTTTTCCTCGGGTCCCAAGAGGACAAGATGCTGGGGACCTGAAATGCTTCCAGAGCAACTGTCTTGAGGAGTGAGTCTCAATGGTTTGTATCAGGGAGTCTGGTTCTGAGACCCCTGGGCTAGCCATGCAACCAGAACCCACACAGGGAGGGAGTCTTGGGTGATGTTGCAACACTAATCTCAGCATTGGTGAGATCCTATTTTCTGGGGAAGTCTGGCTTTGGCCTTTGGCCAGCTTTCCAGAGCATCTGCCTTTGATGCTTCAGAAGGCCATACCACCAGGCAAAAATCATACTTTGAAAGACATTTTCAGGATATGCTTAGCATGCAGCTTCTTCTCTTCAGCCCCACCTTGTCACGTGCCACATGGCTCAGGTTGCTGCTGTCTCTTAACCTGCTGTTTCCCCTGTGCAAAACATTCTTTCATCAGTTTCCCTTGGTTCTGGTGCAGGCTGGTCCTTGTCCTGTGTCTTTGTCAGCTCAAATGCCTCTCCCTTAATAAGCGTCCTCCTCCCTTGTACCAGTACCTCTCAGCCATGCTCCTTTGCTGTTTCTCCCAAAGCACTTCATCATTTGCCTTATTCATCCATAGTTGTATCCCCCCAAAATATCATGTCTGCCACACAGCAGGTGTTCAATCAATATTTATTAGAAGATTTGTATTAGTCAGGATTCTCTAGAGGGACAGAACTAATGGAATACATATATATATATGTATATCGATATATTTTATGTATATATATATTTTATGTATGTGTATATATATATTTATATATATATACATACATAATATGTATATATTATATATATATTTATATATATATACATACATAATATGTATATATTATATATATTTATATATATATACATACATATGTATATATTATATATATATTTATATATATATTTAAAATATATATAAATATATATAAAATATATATATAATATATATATTTTAAATATATATATATTTTATGTATATATATATTTTATACATAAAATATATATATATTACATAAAATATATATATATTATGTATAATATATATATTTTATGTATATATATGTGTATATATATTTTATATATACACATATATATATGTATATATATATATATATAAAATATAGGAATTTATTAAGTATTAACTCACATGATCACAAGGTCCCACAATGGCCCATCTGCAAGCTGAGGAGCAAGCAGAGCCAGTCAGAGTTCCAAAACTGAAGAACTTGGAGTTTTTGATGTTTGACGGCAGGAAGCATCCAGCACGGGAGAAAGATGAAGGCTAAGAGGCTAGGCCCGTCTCTCTTTTCACATTTTTCTGCCTGCTTATATTCTAGCTGTGCTGGCAGCTGATTAGATGGTGCCAACCCAGATTAAGGGTGGGTCTGTCTTTCTGATTAGATGGTGCCCACCCGGATTAAGGGTCTGACTCAAATGTTAATCTCTTTTGGTAACACCCTCACAGACATACCCAAGATCAATACATTGTATCTTTCAATCCAATCAAGTTGACACTCAGTATTAACCATCACAGGATTGAATAAATGAAAAAATGAAGGTCTATAGCTAGAAATTTGGAGATCATCCCAGCGTCCTCCTTCTCCCCCATTGCACATCCAATTAGTCACAAAATCCTGTCACTGAAAAATCTTTATGAGTCTCTAACCCCTTATTTGAAGCTCCTGGGACCAGGTGTTTCTCAGAATTCAGAATTTTTCAGATTCCTAAGAGGCAAAACAGAGGATAAACTATATACCACATGACTCCCTCAGTGGAGTGTGGGCAGCACATCACAATCAAACATCTGCAGTGAAATATGTGCGTGCTTGGGAAAGGCAGTTACATAGCTACAGCTAGCCTCATCTCAGCTCAGGTCATGGTTTGCTGCCAGAAAGTTGACAGAAAACTTGCTGTTTCCGGAGCTTTTTAGACTTATGGATAAGAGCTTGTAGGACAGAAACTTTTTTTTTTTTTTTTTTAAGTTAAGAGGATTGGGATTGTTTCATTCTCCCCCAATATTTTATTTTATTATGAAAATGTTCAAAAGCATAGCAATGTTTAAATAGTTTTACAAGGATCACCCATATATCCACCACATGGACTCTGCCAATAACATTTGTTTATCATGCATATGTCCATCGAGGCATCCCTCTAGCTACCCATCAGTTCATCTAGCTTTTTAGATGCATTTTAAAGTAAGGTACAGAACCAGTACACTGTCTCCTGGACATGTACTGTCAACTAGAGTTCAATATTTGTTCATAGTTTTTTCTTTTAATGTAAAATTTCTATATGGTAAAGTACACAAATCTTAAGTTCATATTCACTAAACCCAAACCTCTGTAAAGATATATACCATGCCCACACCCCAGAAAATGCCTTTAAGCCCTTTACCAGTCAACCCCCACCAATCCCTTACTCCTCAGAAGTACCTCCTAGTCTTGTTCAGATTAGTTTTGCCCTGGGACAGTAACTTTGAAGTCTCGTCTTCAATTCCATTCTTTTCACTTCCCTTCCCTGCCATGTTCAGTGCCCCTATCCCATGCTGTCACACCCCTTCTGACCTTTCCTAGGGAGCTCCCTGCACTTTATTCCAGTTTAAATCAGGTGCCACTACCTTTAAGAAGCATCTCGGCTGGTCCGAAGGTATTGAGTTATCTTAATTGATTGTTCACAGTCAGCTACAGATCAAACTCCTTGTTCTACTCTTTCCCCCCTTCTCACTACTGCACTTGACTAGTCTTAAAAAAAAAAAAAAAAAAAAAAGCATCTTGACCACATCCTCCATGCCCACAGCTCACTCCCACTCAAAACCTGCCCTTCTCTGTCTTGTAAATGCCAGATGATTATATTGGCTGTCCCCCTCCCACTTTCACATTTGACTGTGAGCACCTCCCAAGGCTTAGCATTGCCCCAAGTTTCAATCAATACTTCAGAGGTCAATGCATGAAGTTCACTATTGAGTCTGTGAGGCCAATACAACATTAAAGTGTTAAAACACAAAAGTTTTTCTTTTTCTTTTTGAGATGGAGTTTCACTCTTGTCACCCAGGCTGGCGTGCAGTGGTACAATCTTGGCTCACTGCAACCTCCACCCCCCAGGTTCAACAGATGTTCCTGCCTCAGCCTCCTGAGTAGCTGGGATTACAGATGCCTGCCACCACACCCGACAATTTTTGTATTAGTAGAGACAGGGTTTTGCCATGTTGGCCAGACCGGTCTCAAATTCCTGATCTCAGGTGGCCTGCTTGCCTTGGCTTCCCAAAGTGCTGGGATTATAGGCGTGAGCCATCGTGCCCTCCCCAAACCATTTTTGTTTTCATCACCATTTCAGGATTCTGTGTAAAACAAAGGTGAGAAATGAGGTTTATCTGAAGCCAAGCCCTGTACAAAACCTTTTGTTAGTTGAAATGTTTCTCAGAGGTACATAAAGCCTCTAAAGCTCTTATTACCTGTTTACTAACCCTCCCTTTTAAACATGTCTATTGCTTTTACCAGTTTATTTAAAATGGAAGATATATTTTTACTGTTCCCTATCTGCAAGATGGGAAATAGAAACAAAGTATCTGTTCTCTTCTTATAAGGACACTAATCCCATCACAAGAGTCCACTCTCATGATCTCATCTAACCTCCCAAAGGTCCCATCTCCAAATACCATTACACTGGGGGTCAGGGTGTCAACATATGAATTTGAGAGGGATATTATTCAGTCTAAAACACGGACTCTGTTCCTAGTGCTGAGTGGTGGAATGGAGGCAGTTACTGCAAGCATGAATACATCAGCATATGGCCTGGCTCATCACAGAGGGCAAAGGTAAGATCCAGTGGACTTTGTGCTCCACCGCCACATTGTTACAGAAACACTCTCTTCTCAAGAAAAATGGAAGGATGGGGCAATGTTGGCTGAGGCTGAGTGGTGGTTTCCCTCTTTGCACAGGAAGAGGGCTCTCCTGTTCTCCCAGGTCCCTAACGTTAACTCGCTGTCATCTTAGACTCTGGTAACTTCTCTTCTTTGATTTACCCACCACCTGGCCAAAGCAGACACTTAGGTTTGTGACCTCTGGTTGGTGACTGTGGCTGACAACCTTTTTTGTGGTTCTAGATACTTCAGAATCTAGTGAGAGTCGTGGACCCTCTCTCTAGCATGAACACATCACAACACACTGTACATGCAATTTGGAGGTTTGTGGCCTCTCCTAAGTCCAGGCTACAGACTCTCGGGGTGAGAATTTCTGAGTCAGAGATAATGTCGTCCTCCTCCATTTTCAATCTTTTCCCACAGTTGGCTCCTTCTCAACACTGGAGTTCCAACTCAGATAGCAACTCTTAGGGGTCTTTTTTGACCCATTGCTAGGCAGCTGTCCGTCCTCCCTCTCCCGCTCTTTTTTTTTAATCTCAGCTTTTCTTTTCCTGAGGAGACTTCTCGCTCTCTGAAATGGTCTGGTTCAGTATCTGTTGTTTCACTTAGCCCTCACCCCCTAGAATGTAACGTTAGCGGGCACTGTAGCCCAGAGGTACCCACCAGGCACTTGGTAAGAGTTTGCTGATATGCGTGAATGATTGGAAGGATCCCCGGATCTCGGGCTCCTGGAGGCTTCAGGTAGGAGAAGCCAGGTGAGAGAGCAACCCTGTCGGCGGTGGCCTCGCGTTCCTCGAGCACCCACCCGGAGCACAGCGTTCGGCGGTGCCCGCGGGTCACTGGAGGGCGGAAGCTTCGGGGCCGGAACGGGTGTGCCCGGCGCGCCTGTTGCTGGGGGGGGCAGTTTAACCCGCCGGACCGTGGCGACTACCGAGGGAGGTGAGGGGCGGGGCAGGACAGGCCGGTGTCTTAGGCGGCGGCGGCATGGCAGGGCGGAGAGTGAACGTGAACGTGGGTGTGCTGGGCCACATCGACAGCGGCAAGACGGCGCTGGCGCGGGCGCTGAGCACCACAGCCTCTACTGCCGCCTTCGACAAGCAGCCGCAGAGCCGCGAGCGCGGCATCACGCTCGACCTGGGCTTCTCGTGCTTCTCGGTGCCGCTGCCCGCGCGTCTGCGATCGGCTCTGCCAGAGTTCCTGGCAGCGCCCGAAGCCGATTCCGAGCCCGGCGAGCCACTGCTTCAGGTCACGCTGGTTGACTGCCCCGGGCACGCCTCCCTCATCCGGACAATCATCGGCGGTGAGCGCGGGCTGGGGCGGGAGCTGGGCTCAGGGACGCGGGCGGAGCAGCTGAGCTCCGTGTCCGAATTCGCTCGAGCCTATGACGGGACGGGAGATCGCCCTACCTCATTGGTGGGACCCCTGAGGCCCCAAGAGGCGCACGTGATTTACCCAGGGACCCCCCCCCTCCGCCCCCCAGCAAGCAAGCAAAGGCTTTGAGATTCGAACTCACGGCCAGCTGACATGGAAGTTTTTCCCACCTAGCGCAACCAAACTGCAAGGTG